AAATACAAATTTTACAGAGGAAGGTAAGTTAATCTACAACTACTAATTCTATTCTGTCGAGAAGGCAGTCTAACTGTGTTAAGTGTTCTTTAGAAATCCGTCGATGGCATAGTGATTTCCTAAAACAATGTCCAAATGGGAAAATGGATAAAAAGCAGTTGACTGAAGCTTACAAAGTATACTAATTCAAGACAGCTCGGAATAACACTGATTTTTTTTGTCTACTTTATTGTATGTAGCAGTTCTATCCAAATGGTAAAGTTGATAATTTTGTTAAAAATGCATTTGCAACATTTGATAAAAATCAGTAGGTGTTGTTTATTTGTTTGAAAGTATCAGTGGGCAACCACGTGGACATTAGGTGAAAAAATGAAAGCGCACTTTTCCGAGATTGAAATAGCAGGTCATATACTTCAGGTTACGCTCTATCTTTCTGGCATTGGAGTTTTTCCTGAGTGTCACGATTAGAGAGAAAATCGAGAATGAAATATTTGTTGGAAAACAGATCGATTGAGATAGAAAAACTGTTTCCGGCAAAACTAAATACTATATTTACAAAAACCATACATAGTTTTAAAGTAGACCTTTTACTCTATCTATTCATAAAAAAGTTTCTTTTGTGTGTGTGGCACTCTGGAACTAAGAAAATAATTTTTCTTTCATTCTTAAGTGCTTCCTGAAAAGCGAAGCTCAGTATAGTGAGTGAGCATGCTTTAACACAGCTCCAAACTGAATGAAATTTTCGCAGTATATTCTTCTATTGTTGACAAATCTATTATGTTGGTCCAAACCTTTCTGGCCCGAGTTATTGGTTTTTGTCTCATGTCCACATGTTTAGCCAGAGTTGCCCCCTGTAAACTGGTAGTGGGGCACTGGATGTATCGTTTTGATATATGGTAGAAAGTCTCTTTTTGGTGCTCGACCTACTAAAAAAAAGGGGCATAATAAACACTTTTAACGTAAAAAAATCAAACAGCGTTTACTGAGCAGCGGAATTTAGAACAGAATCGTGATGTAGGAGCAACTATTTATTAATTCGAAACCCATCTTTAGGGAAAGAAATGTGCAGTTTGCTTTGCAGTTAATCTAGAAGAAAATCACAGATTCAAGCGCCGAAAGCGATTTTTTTTCGTTTCTTCTTGACAGGTTTTTTCTGTGCCTCTACAATACATTGGAAACATTGTGTCTTTTATCTTGTCTAGTGATGGTATAATTGATTTTTATGAATTTCTGATAGCAATTGCAGCAACTGTGTAAGTAATTTTCTAAGCTGATTTTTGTGTTTAAGGAAATGATTCTATTTGCATGCCCTTTCTTTTTTTAAAATCGTCCGGTATAGTGAAGGTAATTTAGATGAACGTCTAGCAGTAGCATTTGATATGCATGATATCTCGGATGACGGTCAAATTGATCAGAAAGAATTAACAAATATGATTTCGGCAATTGTATGTTATATGTCTTTTACCACTTGACTAAGGTCTAATTTTCTCGTTCTCTTTTAGTATGATTTAAATGGTGAAACCGATCGCCAGGGTGATCGCGAGCCAAAGAAACGTGCTGCAAAGATTATATCTGCATTAGATGTTGGTAATGATAAAAAAATATCAAAACAAGAATTTATTACCGGGTATTAAAACTATTGTTCTCTCTCACATAATGTGATATTCTTGATCCTAACGTACTCTGCTTTTTTTTTAGTTGTAAAGCTGATCCAATTATATGTCATATCTTAGCACCATTTAAATCAACGTCGAACACTTTAGTTATGGATTATTAGGCCACCATATCCTGTTAGCAGAAACTCCGACATTACTTTCTTGCTTTCATATTTTCATACTCAGACACTCTGACACCGAACTTCAGTTAAAAATAAAGTACTTGTCTTAGATCTTTCAACTCGATTGTTACGATCAAAATAAATACAGTTAGAGAAACAAAAAAACTCTGAAGTCAAAACCTTGTTTCTGCTTCTGAACTTTGTAATTCGTCGACAACGTCCTCTTCTTCTTCTCGTCGCTACTGATACATTATTCACAAGCTGTTTCAATTCTTTGTTCATCAATAGTCGTACTATTGAATAGCAGAAAAATGCCACGGATGCCCAGAAGACGGTTAGACGAGTAGCATATGGTGGTGCTGGTCTACAAACATCGGTTAGTTTCAGGATAGAAAAGAGAGTGATGGGCAGTTCGCCAACCGAAAATGTTTGGAGAAGGATCAATATAAGCCGTTGTTTTTCACGTTGATAACGACGATGATACTACTGTCCGACATCGCGTTGTGATAGCAGCCACATAAGATGTAAATGAAAAGTCGTTGTTTCGGCTCACGTTCCAGCCATCTGAGAAAAGTTTACTAGAAGCAACGCCTGAAAGCTTTTTATATCATCCAAAATCGCCATGTACGCCGTTTGTGCAATAAATTCTGTTCTTCATGGGCATTCTTGGTCACTTCTAGGTGATCAAATTAACTTGATATACAGCTAACCTGATACACAGTTATAGTGGTCAGGTACCAGTTATAAAACTGGAACGGATGCATACCCACAAACTAGTCACATCTTTGATTCTATCCTTACAACATTTCTCTATTCATAGATCTAAATCAAGTAAGATCAGTCGTAATCACATCAACAATTCAATTGAGTGATGTAGGGGACGAACACGGTGAACTTCGTTCTGGAATTGATAGTAGTACTGAAGTACCAGTTGAATCTAAATCATCAATGGAAGCGATAATTCATTTTACATATTATTCGTGTCAATAATCATAATTGGATAAAACATATCAAAATAATAAAAAGAAGACGATGACGCCGATTGTAGAAGGTCTGCCAAGCGGTGGTGTTGTGACATCTGATACAAGTTTGTATTTTCAAGATGAAACAGCAATCAGCACGATTGGTGACCGGCACCATCAGTACTACATAGTCAATATCTGAACTGTCCAATGTTTAAAATTTGAAGTCAGAAACGAATCGAATTGAAACGACCAAACGGATGAATGCTCGAACAATTTGACGTCGACAGAACGAATTCGAACTTTTTGTTGCTCGTCGCGTACAGAACCAATATAAACAGCCCAAGTCTACTCTTCGAACCTCCTTTCTCGTCCTCTTTTATATGGTTCTTGAAGTTGCGGATATCTGGATCAATCTTTTACAAGAATTTGATGGCAAAATTCGCGAATGAAAGTTCGACTCATGATAACTTATCAATCCACGTTTTATTTTGCATTTAATAAATACAGAGGCAGAAAAACGACAGAGAACTTTGTCTTTCATGTGCTACTATAATAAAAGAGAGTGGATCCTGACAGTGATGATGAGAGTCGCGGGAGGGTTTTTGATCTATCTTAACATGACATCACCCTTCTACATCTATTATTTTACATCAGCAAATTCCGACAAGACATGAAGTGTCTTGTAATTAATTGGGGTTTAAAATATATTTTTAAAATTAACGTTTCACAAAGGACAATGACCGTCACGATGCAACAAAAAACAACACATTATGAACAAAATTATCATCATTAATGAAATTATTAACAACTATGAAAAACTTAACACCCAGGTGCATAACGTCAACGGTTAACGACCTCATACTCGTAGATTCTTTTGTCGGTGGACACCTAATTTCTCTAGATCTCTGAAAGCAAAACAGAGATAATGAAATGAATCTCGTCGCTTCTAGGTATTTCACTTCTTTTAGTCATTTGTAATAACTAAAAGAAGTTGATCGATCAATGCCATGTTCAACTCCATTGACACCTTGCATTAAGCTCATGTCAGACTTTTAGAAAAGAAACTAAACCCAGGAATTTTTTGTCACATCGAATTCTCAGTTAGCCATTTTCTAGAGCGCATCAAGTCACCTACAAGAATACATCTTTTCACTAACGAACAAATTCTAACAGTCCAACAAATAATTTAATTTATGTTATCTGGAAACAATTGCATCAAGAACAGCATATGAGAAAGGAGCAACCCGCATAAGGTCGGAAATCGACCCACTGCCTTTTACCGCTCTAATCGGTTCAGAACTCAGCAGAATCATCATATTCGATGATTTCGACTCTTCTGAGCACTCTCGAGCGCGTTTGGTCGAACATACTCGACACAATCTACTCGAAAACAAGCAACAACTTAGCACCAACAGTATGACCGTAAAATCAAAATTGCTCAGTAATTATCCAATATTCAGCCTAGTGCAATACATCATTCGGTGCGCCTTGAAAAGCTCACAAAATGTGCTGAAAGGAAATTTAACAACGCCCGGCAGCAGATTTTATGATTTTAATGCTGGATTCTCCATGCGTCGTGGCTATGTCATGGCAACTCTCGATCACGTTCTTCTATGAAACTAAAGAGGATCTCTAATCACGTACACACTATCCGATGCTCCTTGAAAATGTCTACACTGTGTGTCAACAGGAAACTTAACGGAGCGTCGCAGCCATTTTTGTGTATTAAATACTTCGCCGCTTAAATTTACAGTGGGTCCAAAAATTAGTCGCCACCTTTATTTGTCATTTTTATTGATATATTTTGATAACTGTATGTAAAAAAAGATGGTAAAAGTGAAGTCCGCATAAGAACGGAAATCGGTCCACTAACAATAACCGCTTCAACCGTCCAAACCTCATCAGAATCACATGATATTGATCCAATTATGATCTTCGATGATTCCAATTATGATATTCGATGATTTCGACCCTTCCGAGCGCTTTCAGTCGAATATACCCGACAGAATCCACTCGAAAAGAAGCGATGATTTACCACCCACAGCATGACTGTAAAATCAACATTTCTCGGTAACCATCCTATATTAAGCCTAGCGCAATACATCATTCGACGCGCCATGAAAAGCTCTACAATATGTGTTAATAAGAAGCTTAACGAAGTGGGGCAGCATGTTTTATAAATTTAATACTAGACTTT